ATTATCATGCTTTAATCCCATCCCCCTGGAGCTGAAGTGGAGAAGCCTTTATTATGTAAAGTGGACATGCAGCTATTCTGTCTTTTAAAACATGTTTCTTTCTTTTCATATCCAGAGAAATATTCTGCCTTTTCAATATTTCCTAGGATATTTCATTTTTCTGGGAGAGGGCTGGGTGATAACTTCCCACAAACCTTACAGTTAAAAATCCAAGTTAAACTTGGTCATTTTCCGTTATTATAACTGTAGAAAGTGTGGCACACTTGACAGAAAGGGAGCTGGGTTTCAGTCAGTGTAACTCTCTGCTGTTCACGATGAAAGGTACATTTGTGACTACCAAGGGTATGCATGTTGTACCTCACAACCTTTTGCAAACACCAGCCGTCTAAAAAAGAAGTGGTCACTTATTAGGCTGAAGCGAAATTTGAAAGCAGCAGATGCCATCTTTGATCGAACGAGGTCCGAAGTATTAATTACCACGCACAGACTCCACAATTGTTTAACCAGTCACACAGGGCTGATTGTCACTGCCCTGTTGGTAGCTGGACAGCTGTTACCTGTGGCACAAAAGTCTTCGGGGCGGGGGGCGGGGGGTGGGGGGGCAAATGCTGAAGATGTGAGAAATAGTAAAATGTTGTTTTTGCACTAAGCATGTCTGACCCCCGTCAGGAACATGTGTGATGACCCGGGGCGTGGCACAAAGGCAACACAACCAGAGAAACGGTATGAGTCCCTTTATTAACACCAACTGTGCCCCCCGACGTCCCTTTCACTCTCCAGCCTAGAGAAAATCCCTTCCACAAATTTGCAAATACTCCAGTCAAATGCAGTAAGCAGAATGACTGTAATCAATCACTCCAGCAGAGCAAGTTTGGGGTTCCAGGAGCAATTCCAGAAGGACGAGATAAGCACACTGAAGGTTTAAATACTTCCAGCAGTCGGGACAACTCCACACTAAGTGGACTCAGCATTTGGTCCCGAGAAACACACAACCCAACTGCCTTTCCTTTAAACTCCTGATGAAAGAAATGTCCTTCTGGGTTCGGCTCCAAGTGGGGAAAAAGNCCAGTAAGGGTATGGCTAGCTGATGAGAGCTAAATAGCTTGAAATAGATCTATACTAGTCTCTCTTTATTTATTTATCAGCACAAATATAACACACACACACACACACACATATATATATATATAGGAAATTTTTATAACACTTCAAAGCTACCTTTTATTGTGTGCATTGTGTTCCACAAAGTTTGATGTTGGATACCGCAGGAATTATCATTTCCTAACGAGCGAGAGTAGTTCAAAATACCTCCAAGCTTTAAACTCAGCACTGGGAAAAACACTGTTCAATTAGAATTACTTTTATTTAGAATTAGAATTAGAATTAAATTAGAATTAGAATTACTTTTATTAGAATTAGTTTTATTCTTGCCAGTAGGTTTCAAGCTTGTTAAAGCAAGATGGAACTAGATTTTTGAATAAACCACAATTACTAGGTTAGCACAATAATCATAAGCCATAGGATATGATTTACAAACACAAATAATTTTGCGAATGCAAATATGCTAAATCAAAATCCAGCCAATAGCTTTTTTGTTGTTAGTTGTCAGGTCGTGTCCGACCCATCGCGACCCCCATGGACAATGTTCCTCCAGGCCTTCCTGTCCTCTACCATTCTCTGGAGTCCATTTAAGCTCACGCCGACTGCTTTGGTGACTCCATCCAGCCCCCTCATTCTCTGCCGTCCCCTTCTTCTTTTGCCCTCAATTGTTCCCAGGATGAGGCTCTTCTCCAGTGAGTCCTTCCTTCTGATTAGGTGGCCAAAGTCTTTGAGTTTCCTCTTCAGGATCTAAAGAGAAGTCAGAGTTGATTTCCTCTAGGATTAACCGGTTTGATCGCCTTGCAGTCCAAGGGACTCGCAGGAGTCTTCTCCAGCACCAGAGTTCAAAGGCCTCGATTCTTTGGCGCTCAATCTTCCTTATGGTCCAACTTTCACAGCCATACATTGCAACTGGGAAAACTTTTATTCCCCGCAAATATGATGTTGTGGTCATCAGAATTAGATTTGTCCAACACCAATATCATTTAGGGCTATCAGTTTTTTTTTCAGGTTCTTTCAGACATGTTGACCTGATGTTCAAAAGCAAAACCCACAATAGTACTGTATATTCAAAAATACTCCCAAGTTCCTGTGCATAGGATTGTATTTTAATTTGGTGCCATTCTCTTTCCTTATATTTATAGGTTCTTACCTGTACAGGGGAATTAGGAAACGCAGAATTCTTTGGCTCAAGGTAAAATGACAGAATTACCGTTTCGATGCACAAAGGAGAAAAGTCATTCCAATTTATGAGAACAGTAACAAATTTGAACATCCTATATGGTGGAGTGTGAAAGATTTCAGGTGTAAATTAATACTCGCAGTTGTTTATCAATATACTTTTTCTTTCTTCTAAAGTTGGCTGCCGAAACAAAAGTACGGAAGTTAGAGAACCAGAAGCCTGTTGTTGTTGGGGGTTTTTTTCTTGGCAAAAACCTTGTTTCCTAAATCTAAACCCGTAGCAGCAACACCTTTTAATTTCTATTCTGCAGCTGGTTTGACTTACTCAAAAGAAAACCTGACAAGTATGGAGCCTGCCCGTTACAATCATATGTCGTAATAGTCTTAAAATGGGTCTGTCACATGACCAATCTTAATTCTATCACCTTTTTTACGGTGGTCATTAAGGGAATGCAGCCCTTGTAAAGCGAATCCCATCGTCGTTAAGCAAACCGCTGTTTCGATAGGGGTGCAGTTTTGCCGTAAACGAAACGCAGCCATGTTGTTGACTGCATGAAGAAGGGAGCTGCCCATTGGAACTTCTAATCTGGGTTGCCGTCCTCTCTTTAGAGTCAGTCCTAGCTTCAAACTTGCTAAGCAATTATCATAAGTCGAGGAGTACCTCTACTGAGATCTCATATTCTGTCTGGGACATGGATCTCATTGAGTTGAATTTCAAACTTGAATTGATTGTAGTAAAACACCAAATAACCTATAGGGAGTCCTTGAATTGCCACGACTCATTTAATGACAGTTCAAAGTTACAATGGTGCTGGGGAAAAAAAGTGGCTTATGACCTATCCTCGTAGTTATGACCGTTGCACCATCCCCACAATCATGTGATTGTTTTTTGGGCGCTTGGCAATCAACTCATATTTACGACGGTTATAATATTCTCACAATTTGCAGGCTGGCTTCCGGCAGTCAATAGGCCAGTTTTGCTTAATGACCCGATGGTTCATTTAACAACCATGATAAAAAAAATGATAAAATTGGATCTGGTAATGACCATATTGCTTAGCGACCAAAATTTCAGTCCCAATTGTGGTCTTAAGTTAAGGACCATTTATACATATTTTTTTCCTGACTGAATCTTCATTTATTTTTTTCTGGAAAGTAGCTTCAAACAAACTATTCAAAGGCCAAGACAGGGGGTGGAAATGCACACATTTTGGGAATCGGATTGTTTTGTGACATTCATGTTGTGACACTTCAGTTCAGAAGTGTCAAGTAAGCACAGATAGGTTTGGGTTTCCTAATTTTTGCTTCCAACCTAATATACCAAGGACAGGTATCCTGCAAACAAGTAAAAGTTAAAACAAAAGAGTGAATCTTGAGTGGGGCAGAAGAAACTATTGTTTACCCTTCTGTCATAGTTACACAGACTTTCCACAACCTTTGGATGCATTAGGGGTGCAACTTGAACCTGTTATACAGATAGCCCGTGACTTACCATCACAACCGAACCCAAAATTTCCATTGATAATGTAGGAAGTTAAAAACCACCCCTCTCCTAGAAAAATGAAATATCCTGGGAAATATTGAAAAGGAAGAATATTATATTTTCCTGGATAAGAAATGGAGAAACATATTTGTAGACAGAAACGGACTCTGTCTTAATAGCCGCCACCTTTGTCAATGGGCCATTAAAAAGGACCGAGCTAGTCTACTCTACATAACAAAGGTAGAGTTAGCCTTCCACAGAAACTCACCACAAGGTACCTGGGAAAATTACATCAGCCAGCAAAGCAACCAAACTTGGACTCAAAGCACAGCCTACAGAGTTTCCCCTGCATGGCCTCATGGGAATCTGACAACCAATCAGAATACAAGCTCAAGATCAAAGGCCACAGAGGGCATAAAACCAGGGACTTTCAGCACCTATTTTTCTTCTTCACCCAACATCTGGAAGCATGTGACATGCCCCCTCCCCTTTTCTATTCAGGAGCTCAAACCATGTGGTCCTGTCCACCATTAAAACCATCTTTCCAAGTAGCCTCCATCTTTCCCCCCACTTGGAACTGAACCCAGAGGGACATTTCTTCCAACAGTAAGAAGACAGTTGTTAAGCGGGCTTTGTGACATTTTACAACCTTTCTTGCCACGGTTGTTAAATGAATCACTGCAGCTTCCGCGGCCGAGGTAGGGGATCCCTGGCATACATCTTTCCCCTTGTAGTGCAGTGAATTCAGGGAATATCTCCCTGAGATATTTCTGAATATTATCTCATTGCTCTGGACTTAAAATATATTTCAACCTCTCTTGACTAGATAACACCTTCTGCTTATTTCCATCAAATAATCTCTCTTACTCTTACCCTGTTTCCCCGAAAATAAGACCTCCCTGGATAATAAGCCCAATCAGCCTTTTTAGTGCATGCGCTAATATAAGCCCTTCCCCAAAATATTGCACCGCAACAGCAGCCATGAAGTGACCACGCTCGCCGCCTCCTGCACTTCAAAAATAATAAGACCTCCCTGAAAATAAGGCCAAGCGCTTATTTCAGCGGTCAAAAGAAAATAAGGCTCTGTCTTATGTTCAGGGAAACACAGTAGATTTTGATTGTTTACAAATCTGCTCTCTGCCTTCCTTGTAACTGTTTTTAGGAGAAGAAAGCAGGGAAAAATCAACCAGAATTTATCAGCTGTTGGTGAAATTTAGAGAGAAGTGGGTAGTATTAGCACCACAGAAAACAAGTTCCATGACGTGGAAGTTCCTTCTTTATGAAACCACAAAAATACTTAAATATAAAGTGGTTTTGTATTGCCATCTGTTCTGGCCATTCTATAATATCTAACATTGTAATCATATCAAAACCAGGAAGTCTCCACTGTTAAACCTCCAAAAAAGCTTTATACAATTGACAATAATAGAGAGAAGGTGGGCGAGAGGGAGAAAGCCAGTGGTGGGATTCAGGCAGTTCGCACCACTTTGGGTGAAACTGGTTGTTAACTTTCTGAGCGGTTTGGTGAGCTGATTGTTGGAAGAAATCAATAGGGCGGAGAACCGGTTGTTAAATTATTTGAATCCCACCACTGGAGAGAGGGAGAGGGAGAGGAAGGGAGGGAGGGAGGGAGAGACAGGGAGGGAGGGAGAGGGAGAGAAAAAAGGAGGAGAGCAGGAGGGGAGGGAGAGAGAAAGANCTCGTGGCCTTCCAAAAAGCCACCAAAACCTGGCTGTTCCGACAGGCCTGGGTTGCTGATTTATAAATCAGGTCCAACCCCCAGCTAAGCCAAATGTATGTTGTGTTATTTAAACTGTTTCTGTTTTTCTCCCCTATTTGTTATTTTATTTTATGTCGTATTTCTAAGCCGCCCGGAGTCCTCCGGGATTGGGCGGCATATAAGTTCATTAAATTACGAATTATGAATTACCTTCACATACGTGTTCTAAAAACGATATCAGTACTGGCCTGTTTCGTTCAAGTGAAGCTGATGTGCTACTTGGTTTTGTTTTTCAGGCAGAAAAGATAGCCTCCCAGATGATAACCGAGGGACGCATGAATGGCTTCATTGATCAAATAGATGGAATAGTCCACTTTGAAAGTAAGTTTGGCTCTAGGTGACTCTTTTAGTGCAACCAGCTAAATTTCCTCCAGATGAACATGTGGCAACTAGAGAGGGTTGGCTGAGGATTCCTCCCACATCAGCCGATGTGCCTAGAAGCTTTTGTGCATTCAGTGGAGCAGGCAGACAAAATGGGCACAGCCTGATCCAATGCATTTCTGTGTTGTTTGTGAAGGAACACACCAGCAGCTTCCTCCGTGGGCAGAAGGAGCATAACAGTATCTCTTCTGCCAGACCAAACAATAGGAGGCAATATTGTTTACCAGCTTGCTGAACTCTTTGTGTTAAAAATGCAGGTAGTTCTCAATGTATGACTGCAATAGAACCCAAAATTACAGTCGTGAGCCATGCCGGTCATTAAGCAGGTTATCATGTGACTGGTGCATTTTTCTGGCTTTTTTTGCAGTAGTTGTTAAGCAAATGGGTGGGGTTTTGTGGTTGTTGGAAACAGATAGTAAAACGCCTGTTTCCAGCAAAAGACGTCATAAATTGCATTCAGGTGACCATGGGTTGCTGCAAATGTAAATGTGGACCATATGGCAAGTGCCAAAATGCAATCATGAGACTACAGGGTTGGGCAGCTGTCAGAACTTGGAATCTGGGTCATAAGTACCTTTTCGGGGATCTGTCATAACTCGGAACATTCTCTAAGCAACCGGTTATAAAGTGAGGACTACCTATAAGTACCATGTTTCCTCAAAAATAAGACAGGGTCTTGTTTTCTTTTGGCCCCCAAAATAAGCGCTTGGCCTTATTTTCGGGGAGACCTTATTATTTTTGAGGTGCAGGAGGCGGCGAGCGTGGTGACCTCATGGCTGCTGCTGTGTTGCAATATTTTCAGGGGAGGGCTTATTTTAGCGCATGCGCTCAAAAGTCTGAGTGGGCTTATTATCCAGGGAGGTCTTATTTTCAGGGAAACAGGGCAATTAAGCATCTAGACATCATTTTATGTAAGGCTGTAACTTGGAGCAGAGATAAATAACTTTCATTTGGAAATAATGAAAGTTTGAAAAAGTCTATTTCCCAAACCTTGGATGACTTAATAAATAATTGCCTTAATACAGATCTTGCATTTGTGTTATAACACCTGTCAGTGATTCCTCCTTCAACCCCTAGATGGCAGTCTAGATACAGTGGAAGTGCTGTAAATGTCCTGTTCTAAATTATCCAGAATATGCTTGTCATATATAATAAACTCCATTTATCAGAATGAAGGTTGTTACAAGCATGAAACTTCTGCTGTTGTTTATCTTATGTACTTTTTAAATATTTGCTAATGCTTGTCATATATAATAAACTGCATTTATCAGAATGAAGGTTACAAGCATGAAACTTCTGCTGTTGTTTATTTTATGTACTTGTTTTTTGTTTTAGCACGGGAAGCCTTACCGACGTGGGACAAACAGATCCAGTCTCTTTGCTTCCAAGTTAACAATCTTTTGGAGAAGATAAGCCAGACCGCCCCGGAATGGACAGCACAAGCTATGGAAGCTCAAATGACTCAATAGACTTTCAACTTCTCCCCCACACCCCTTCTTTGGATGTTTTTTTTTTCTAAAAAAAAATGTGAAATAAACCTAGGAAATTGAACTTCTGGCTTTGGTTCTACTTGTTGCTCTTAAGAACCGTGATAGTGGCACAGCCTGAGCATTATTTTAAGCTGTAATTTAAAGAGATGAATGTGTTTAAGTTTTATATTAAAATTTTGGTTGCCATGTAACTTTGTGAATGTTTGTGTGTTGTGAAAAATTGAAATTCCATTCTCTTTAGATACAGTTGCTCCAATAAAGATGGGATGGAAATTGAGCAGTTACTTGGTATCTGGATACTTCATTTCCTGCATTTTTATTGGTCTTTACCAAAAAAATAAACTGTTTAAAAGCTGTTAAGCATTAAAATGTAAGACTTGGCATTTATCTAACAGATGCATATTTTCCTGTAAAGTTTGAGAATAGTTTAGACCCATAGAAGTTTGAGAATACATCCAAGTCATAATGAGTCAAAAATGAAATTGAATAACAATCAGCGTTTAATCTTTGATCAAGGTTTAAAGACATGATGGCCAGTTGTTCCTAAAATACCCCTAGGATATTCAGGGAAGAACTACACTTCAGAGGCGGTGTATGTTTTAGCCTCCAGTCCCCTAATCATCTTTGTTGCTCTTCTCTGCACTCTTTCCAGAGTCTCCACATCTTTTCTATATCATGGCTACCAAAACTGAATGCAGTATTCCAAGTGTGGCCTTACCAAGGCCTTATAAAGTGGTATTAACACTTCACGTGATCTTGATTCTATTACTCTATTTATGCAGCCTAGAACTGTGTTGGCTTTTTTGGCAGCTGCTGCAAACTGCTGGCTCCTATTTAAATGGTTGTCCACTAGGACTATAAGATCCCTTTCAGAGTTACTACTACTGGGCAAGGTACCACCTATACTGTACCTGTGCATTTCGTTTTTGTTGCCTAAATGTAGAACCTTTACTCTTTTCACCACTGAATTTCATTTTATTAGATAGTGCCCAATGTTCAAGTTTGTCAAGATCCTTCTGTATCTTCTGGAGCGTTGACTATTCTGCCAGCTTGATGTCGTTTGCAAATTTGATGAATTCCCCATTTATTCCCTCATCCAAATAATTGATGAAGATGTTGAAGAGTACTGGGCCTAAAACAGANCAATCACATTTTACAGTATGATTTAAAGAAACCGGAATAGCATTGTTACATGATTTATATATTGCCAACGCAACTGTTATATTCCTAACAGAAATCACTGAGACTGGCATGTTGTAAACAACAGGGAAACTTTTTATATAAATTATCTGAGGGAATTTTTACTCAAATCTTGATGGTGGCTTCCCTCCTACGCATCAGGCTCTCTACTTTTGCAGAAATATGCAGCTGGAGAAAAATTAAGTGGCTTTTCCTTGTTCCAGTCTGATTTATTGCTCCTTTTGCACTGGGAAAACAGAACCCAACTGAGGCTGTCTATGAAAAGAAGTGGATATATGCCAGGTACAAAGCGTTTTTGTTTAAATCAGAACGGTAACTTTAGAGACTCCACTCCACTGATGATTATCAGTCAACATGTCTTTGCAGAACATTAAATGCAGAAGTAAACAGAAAAAAATCACAAACCAACCGCAGAGTCACGTTCAAGATGTTTGGAAGAAAAATACAAGTCCAGTTGCTAGCTTGAGAAAGAAGGTCTGTTTATTGATGAGCAGAACCAACTCACACACAGCAGGCAGTTCTGCGACAGCTGACAAATTCACCTGATGAGGACAAGGGTTTTTATACCATTTACCGTATTTTGCAGGGTTGGGCTGCTACGGATTCACCCGGGTTCGGGAGAACCCGTCGCTAACGTTATGGCCTGTTCGGAGAACCGCCAAGTCCCACCCCTGACTGGCCCTGCCCACCTCACCCCTCCCATCCTGGCCCTCCCAGCAGTCTCCACGCAGCCCATTTTGGATGTGAAGTATTGCCTCTAGCCTGCCTTTTTTAATAGACCAATAGTATTGTTTCCACTTTTCTCAATGAATGGGGGTTAAGGTGACCTGTCCTGTCCATCACCTGGAGTGAAGTTGTTTTGTTTGCGAATAGGCTCATTAAGGAACTACCTCTAAGCACATGTCTCTCCATTTCTCCTTCAAAGGTAAAGGTAAAGGTTCCCTTGCACATATGTGCTAGTCGTTCCTGACTCTAGGGGGCGGTGCTCATCTCCGTTTCAAAGCCGAAGAGCCAGCGCTATCTGAAGACGTCTCCGTGGTCATGTGACCAGTATGACTAAACCCCAAAGGAGCACAGAACCCTGTTACCTTCCCACCTATTTTTCTAATTTCATTTTTACATGCTTTCAAACTGCTAGAAGCTGAGACAAGTAATAGGAGCTTGCTCCGTTACACGGCACTGGGGATTAGAACTGCTGAACTGCCAACTTTCTCAGCATCTTAGCATCTCAGCCACTCAGCATCTCAGCCACTGCATCCCTCTTATTCTGCCTCTTACTATCCCCCAAAATATTTCATTCTTGGTAGGGGGGGAGGGGGGCTTCCCACAACTAGAGGTCTTAACCACTTAAACCTGATGAAAGAAATGTCCTTCTGGGTTCAGCTCCAAGTGGGGAAAAAGACACTGGAGGCTGCTTGGAAAGATGCTGTTAATGGTGGACAGGACCACATT